CTCTCACTGTTGCTGCCCAGGCAACTAGTATTCAAGAGTAGACGGCCTGTGTCAAAGGGTGTTGTTCCTCATCGCCATCATGGCTAATAGATGCCAGTAGCCCTTTCCTTCATGAATATGACTCATCCCCTTTAAAATGGACAGCATCAGGTGCATAGGCTCTGGAGGGTGAGCCATGTTGACATGCAGACAGCATATCAAATATGCCCCCCATGACTCCACCAGCCATTGAGGGAGTGACAAGCAGCTGGTAGATTCCAGCTAGGCCCCAGAAGGCCAAGGCTCTACCCTGTAAAGTCAACAATTCCTCGTTGCATTGCAACCACTTTCGGGATGGTCAAATCACCAAGCAATTTTTTAGGATCCCCAGTGGAGCTTTGTTCTGAACTGTGAGCAGCCTGTTTCTGTATGTGGGGCTGCTGAATAACCTCAGCCTGGGGAGCACCAGAGTCCTTTGCATGTTCCTTGTCTCCTTCAGCAACCATGCGGTATGCTGGGACAACAGTTTCCTTGGTAGTGAAGGAATGACATCATCATAAGAAGCAAATAGCTAATCTCCAAAGCCTGCTTTCTTAATTACAGTGGGTGGAGCAGCACTAGCAGTAATTAACTTTACTTATCTCAGCGCTGTTATTTCCATCTGTGGCAGCAGAAAATAACTACAGTGAGAGTGCTGAAATGACCAACAGTTTGATGAAATTAAACCAAAATACAGCTGGTTCCGTTCCATTATCATTGGTGGTAGGTGGCCATGCAAATGAACCCCAACTGTGATGTTCTGTTTACTATAACACTGAAATCTTGCATTTACCCATGATCAATTCAAATATTTTCATTTAAACATGGAAGAGAGCAGTATGGGGCCTCCTTTCAGCCACAGCCTGCAGTTCCTTGATATCGATGCAATCATGTTCTCTCCCTATTTTAATTAGAACTTTTAATTATATTCTAATTAGGATTTTAATTATTTTCTATGTTTTATTACATATTCCTAACCATTCATGAACACATGAGACAATGTGCTCATTGGCATACATAGTACATTAAAGAAAAGAATGCAAAACCACAAAATACTTCAGGAAAAAACAAAAAATTATAAGCAAATGGCTTAGTTTGGGGATCAAATGCACAAGATGTGTCAAATGTTTACTGCCTAATTTGCTCGTTTTATGGCCACAGCAGATTGTGCATCTTTCCACATCTTGATGACTGGGAAAAGTTTTGGTTTCTGTGATTCTGTGAGAAACTACATCAACTCAAAGCACCAACTAGGAAACTTCCATGGAGCAGATATGTGTCACCTCCTGCTGAATTAGGATGTTGGAACCACAAAGTGCTGGTAAGATCCTGAGGAAGTTGGATGAATGCAAGAAGGTGGCTGACGACAAGGACAATTTGGCTGCGTACCTAGTGGGTCACTCCTGAAGCTGAATATAGAGGAGCAGGAAGCAAGAACTGAGTCTGAGCTTGGAAACATGGTCTTCAGGACCAGGGACAGCTCCAATCCAGTGGAGACATTGCACCACAAAATGTACATCCAATCTGAGTGCTTTCTATAATCTGTGATGCAGCAAAAAACTTTAAAGATTAACAAATATACTTGGGCATAAGCAAAGCGGTGAGGCTACCCCCCCCCAAAGCAGCCTGGGAATGTGGGGAAATGATACCCATAGAGTTTTCTTCTACATTTGCTATTTATGGGTATGAGTGCCTGTGGAATTTTAAGGGAGCAGCTTATATTCGGGTATCATCTTTTCTTTCTCCCCGCCCCTTGAATTTTAAAGGTGTGGCTTATTTGCGGGTGTGGCTTATATTCTGGCCAATACGGTACTTGCATTGCAGAGGGGTTGGATTAGTTGACCTTCGGGATCCAACTATACTATTTTACGATTCTACTTATGTAATAAAAGTTTTGTATGGCAAGAACAAATAATAATTAAATAAATAAATGTCTGAAAAGGATAAGAGCCCTGGACCAATAACAACAACAGAAAAGGTGTGTGCTGGAGTTTCGAGGTCAGAGCAGAAGAAACCTTAAACGCTGCACATGCCACCTAGCATGTCTGTCCAAAACCTGGCGGTGTCATACCAGGGATTGATGTGGCCCCCACCCTCACTGTCTCATCCTTGCGTCTGTGTGTACAAATGCAAAATAATGAGGTGTCTGCTTACAGAGCCTGTGCCGGCGGTGACGAATGAAGATGGATGACTTCAGCGAAGAGACAATTTGGAAAGGGATAAATACAGGCAACAGGTTATTCACTGCGGCAATTTGTAAAGAGTGTTAAAAACCTCCCGACAGGATGGTTTCACATCATCTCTTTTTTTCCATTTTGCGGCCTGACAGCCCCCCATGTAAATGGCAGTGATTGATCGCTGCAAACAGGTCCCTTTAATCTGCAACTCTGGTATTGATTACTTCAAACTCCTGCAAAGCTGGGCATCAACCTGGCAGCGGAATGAGGACCTGCAGAGTGGATCAGGCAGCTGGAGGGCAGAGCAGGGCTGACCAACATGCGGAGAATGGAGATGGGCTGTAAGGTCTTAGCAGCCAGGAAATTAAGTGCCTTGGGTGTCCAGGAAAATGAGTGGCTGTAGTGTAATCCAAACCTAGGATTTCTCACTGAAGTCAGCGTCTTGAGCTGGAGGCTTGAGCAGTAGGAAATACAAGATTCTGCCTTGTGATAAGTCAGGCTCCTTGGTCCATCTAGGTCAGCACTGCCTGCAGTGACTGGAAGCAGCTCCCCAGGGTTTGAGACAGGATATTCCCAGCCCTACCTGGATATGTCAGGGATTAAACCTAGTGACTTCTGCATGCAAAGCAGATGCTCTATCACTGCGTTGCAGCCTTTCCCTTAGGATGTAGGAACACAGAAAAGTGCCTTATAGTGAATCAAAAGCTGGGTACAGTGTTGTCTGCACTGACTGGCAGTGGTTCTCCAGGACTTCCATCAGGTGCCTTTCCAGTCTTACCTGCGATTCCCATCCACTGGTATTCAGAGGCATCTTGTCTCTGACAGTGAAGGGACAACCTCGTCCCCTCCTTGAATGTGTCCAGTCCTCTTTTAAAACCATCCAACTTGGTTAAAGCTGCATTGTCTGCCCCACCAGTGTTCTGAATTCTGGAGGCTGTTGGATTTAAGGTTTTCAGGGGAGAAAAAATAGCAAGGTATTAAATCTGGCTGGTTATTTTACAGTATTTATATCCCACACTTCTTCTACCATGGGTGGTGGCACACGTGGAGATCTGCCATCCAGGCACTGACCTAGAAGCAGATCTGCTAGCTTCATGAAGGTGGGGATCTCCTGTGCATCCGAACTTAACCCTGGTGTCCTGCTTAACTTGACCTTTGCTTGACCTTTAAAACTGATAAAAAAAGCAATGAGTCTCTTACTCCCTCCACAAGAACCTCTCAAGCTTGAATATTAGAGCTCAAATTTGCAAACATTCAAAATCTGAGAAGCCAAATCTAGATTCTGATTTATTTATTTTTCAGAAAAGAATGAGCATACCCTTGACCAGTTCCTTCTCCTTTGTTCATTTGGCCTGGTAGATTAGAAAGGAAGAATGACTCTGTGTACTGATTGGCGCCCAAGGTATTATCGGCAGTATCTTCATGCATAGCGAACCTGAGTTACTTCAGCAGGGAAGTATTCATGATGTACTTTGGATGAAAAAAAAGTACAATTCATTAATGGAACTTCCCCTCCAGCACCTTTTGCTGGTACTAAACTCACTCCAGTAGGAGAAGCTCTATCGCCAGAGTCAATAAAATTGCGATTATATGATCTCCAATTAAACTTCTGAATTGTTTCTGAGTGCTTAATTGACCTTGCTCCTCCAGAGTTATTGTCTGGCTGGGTTATTACTCTCTTGAACAACCTTCCCACCTCCTGTGTTCCCAGTTTGGGTCTCAATTAGCACTGGAAAGAAGGGAACACTGAATTTTGTCAAACTCTCCACATAAAAAAACTAAGTGTCCCAAGCATGTTTTGTCAGCATTATCAAAATTGTATATTCTCTGGGAGAGGTTTCTCAAGAGGTCTTCTGAAGAGAGGTGACCCCATAATGTCAGGGTGGACAACCTCTGGCCCCTGGACTGACTGTAACTCTCAGCCTGATTTTGTGTGGCTTTTGATAGGGAAGTAGTTCAGATCTTTGGTGAGGATTATCAGTTTCTGGCGGCCTGCCGGACAGGGAGGAAAAGGGAGAAGGAGAGATAAAGAAGGGGAGAGTGAGGATGCTATGAACCCTCAGTGACTATGGCCTCAGTGACTTTTCTGTAGAGCAACAAGTATCTCCCAATAATGGTTGAACTAGGGGTTGATCTCCACAGCTGCTTTTGACCTGAACTTTCCATCTGTGGTGATTTCTGTTTCATTTTGGTCAATGGGTAGAAATGGCAGAACTGACCAAATGAGGAAACACTAAACATCTTTGAGCCCCATGTTGGGCAAAAGATTCCTGTATTTCAGGAGTTTGGACCAGATGACCCCGAGGTCCCTTCCAACTCTACAGTTCTATGATTCCATGAACCCACCTTTTGTTCTAGCCTCATCCACAGTTGCCGTTGGCCCCATCCACAGTTGCCCTGATGGATTACCCCAAAGGAATGTGGCCTTTTGCTGGAAAGAAAAGGTTGCCCACCCCATCCTAATGAACCTGAGGAGGTGCAGTTGTGGTTTGCTTCTTCCTCTGATACTTCTGCTGTAATATAGGAAGAGAGCATTGGCAGGGGTGAGGTGCCCAGAATCCAGATGTGGAAGCAGGTTGCACATCAGTCATTAAAAAAAATGTAAGAGGAGTTGTGCTTCTTCTCTATCCCATCCTTGCTATCACTCATGCAGCCATGATCAACTGCACCCTGCAGACAGGGATTCTAGAAACAGAGGACGCTGCCTTATACTGAGTCAGACCACAGGGCTATCTAGCTCAATACTGCCAGCACTGACAGCCAGCAGCTCTCCTGGGTTTCAGATGAAACATTCCCGCTCCTAACTGGAGATACCAGGGATTGAATCTGGGACCTTCTGCATGCAAAGCAGATGCTCTTTGGTTAAGATATGGTCCTTCCCCTGAATGGAAGATTCTAGTCCTCATGGTTCTGAATACGAGAGCTGATTTAAAAAGAAACATGGGGAGCTGCCTTGTAGTCAAATCACTGTTCTATCTAACTCAGTATTGCTAACACAAACTGGCTGTGGTTCATCATGTGTCTTCCCTTGCCCTACCTGGATATGACAGGTTTGTACCTGGGATCTTCTGTGTGCAAATCAGATGCTCTTCCACTGAGCATCTTTTTTATATTTACATGTGTATCCCACCTTTCTTCTGAGGAGCCTGAGGTTGTATACATAATTCTCCTCATCCCCATTTTATCCTCACTACAACCCTGTGAAGGGGGTTAGGCTAAGAGACAGTGGCTCTGGCCCAAGCTCTAACCACTACACCACATCCCTGAATGGCAACAGGAGAAGGCTTGGCTTCTAGTACTTAGAGTACATCTCAGATGGCCAACTTGTGAGTTTTACGAAGACAAGTGCAGCATGTGAAAGCAGATCCTCGCGGGAAACAGCAATCCATGATAGATTTGTCACCTCTCATTATGTCAAAATAGTTCTACATTAATTTAATAACTCTTTCATTCTTTCTGTCTCCCCCAGTCGCCCCCCCGAACTCGTCATCTGTGCCATTCTGATAATAAAATGGGTTTCTTGCTTCCTCCCCACCCACAGCACTAAAGATCCTTCAAGGACAGTGGCTGGCTGGCAAAATAAAGGAATTAACCTGTAGAATTCACCACTGCAATATGTGGAAAGGAGCCCATGGATTTAAAGAGGATTAGACATATGCATGCAAGCATGCACTAGAAACTGGCGCTGAACCATGATACTCAATGGAATCTCTATGTACAAAGGCAGTATGCCCCATAATATCAACTATGGAGGACAAATGAAGTGACCTAACCATGGCACACTCTGCAATTTCTACTCATTGGTTCAAGTCAGGAGCTCTGGAGGAACAGAGGACAAGTGCCCACCACAGCCCTTCAGATACTTTATGACAACTCTCATGCCTAACTTCAGGGGTTATTCTGAAAATTAACAGGGGAGGCAGGTGGAAGGCTTATGGTGGAGAAGAAGAGAGCACCATATGCTGCCTTGGGCTCCTTTGAGGAAAGGTGGGCTCTAAGTATATGTACACATTGCACTTCCTCTGGCTCTAGTGAGCTTCCACCACTGGTGAGCGTATGTAACATCACCACAACCCATCTGTATCTGGTAGTTTGTCGGAAAATACTCCTGTTTGATGTATCTCCCCTCAAACCAGCTCCCATCCCATTTAAAAACACAGACCATGGTTAACCTGAGTTCGAAACCGCCATTGCACATGCTCGGAGGACAGCACATGCACAGATGACAGCTTCCTTCAGGGGGATTTCAGGTGCAAGGAAACAAATTAGGTAATGTGCTTCAAGGGAAGACTCGCCAACCCCTCTCTGGTGTGAACAGCAATGTCCAAATGTGACTTGAAATGCAGCAAGGGGAGGAGTGTCCTCAACGAATTTTAAGCCACTAATGTGTACATACCCTAAAACACCACCACAATTCTCTCTCTCTCTCTCTCTCTCTCTCACACACACACACACACACACACCAAATACGCACTTCAAATATACACTTGAGGTGGAAAGCAGCAAGGCTGATTTCCACTAACATCTACCACCACATTGCTGAATAGGGGTAGAAATTCAGTTTGGTTCACATTTTTATGGCCAACCTACCTAATTTGCACTTTTCAAAACACTTATGCAAAATGAAACACACTTCTCCTTTGAAATTTGTGTTTCTCCGAAGGTTGCAGTGCAGTCCTCCAAGAACAAAAAAAATAATAATTCTCCAAAAATGCATTTATTAGAAAACAGAATGCATTAGAAAGAGAGAGAGTCACATACAAAACTGCATTGGATTGGGGAGATGGCTTGCAAAACTTGTATAGTAGAAGAAAAGAACATTAGCAGCTTAGCTCAGTTGGTTAGAGCATGGTGCTGATAATGCCAAGGTTGCAGGTTCGATCACCATATGGGAGAGCTGCATATTCCTGCATTGCGGGGGGTTGGACTAGAGGATCCTTCTGGTTCTATGATTCTAAAAAGCTGGGAGGTTTTTGGGTTTTTTTTGAAAGCCAACTGATGCAGAAATATGGAGAACTGAATTTAGGAATGGGGATGGGTGAATGGGGTGGGGGGGAGAAACCTGACAGATTTGTCCATTCCTCATCACCTGAGGGAATATTTTGGGACAGAGCATTGCAAGAGGATCCTCCCCCCGCCCCCAATTCTGAAGGTCACCATTTCCTTACCACCAAAAAAAAAATAAAAATTAATTAGGCTTCTATAAAAGTGGCAAGATTTAGGAGGCAAACGTTTTTTAGCTCTCCTGCTGGGAGCCCTTATGAATATTAACAACAATGGGAGGAGGAGGAGGAAAGAAAGGAGAGCATGGAGTTCTCCCCCCTCCCTCTCCCTCCTCCCCCCACTCTCCCCTCTCTCCTGTTCTCTGCCACTTTCTTCCGCCTCCTCCCCATCCACTCAAGGGTTATAATTACTCTGCAGGGGGTGCCTCTATAAATTACAGGCTGATTCCAGCCAGAGAATTTTCCCCCAGTGAAGCCTGAAGGAAGGAAACAAAGTCTGTGGGGTGTGTGTGACTATAGGAAGTACCTTGCGGGGGGGTATATATGCATATATATCTCCTGTCACCTGTGTGAAGTTGGGCCAAGAGGCTGCACCTGCAAGGAGGATTGTCAAAACTTTGCAAGGGGGGGGGGGGGCGAAGGCAAAAGAGCCTCTCCGCTACGTGGCACTGAACTGGGGAAGATATTTGCTCCCTTAGGCCTTCCAGGGAGTGCTTCTGAATCCCCCCCCCATTTTTAGCTGGAAAGGAGCCAGAATCCTCCCAGTATGCCAAAATTGCAGCAGGAACCTGAGGCAGGGAACTCGGGTGTAGTTGGGGAAAGCACATCTGCTAGGCATGCACACACACACACACGCACACACACACACTGCAACCGACATTGATTACCCTGCACCTTGTTCTTGAGATTTGGGGCAAGACTTTCAAGAGCTGCTGGGATCTATGTGGCAAGGAAAGGCATAGCAGTGGACAGCCAATCATAGAACTGTAGAGTTGGAGGGGACTCAAGGGTCATCTAGTCCAACCCCCTACAATGCAGGAATCTCAGCTAAAGCATCCACGGCAGATGGCCCTCCAACCTCTGCTTAAAAACCTCCAAGGTAGCAGAGTATAGCAGAGAACAGCTCTTACTGTCAGAAAGTTTTTCCTGATGTTTAGTTGGAATCTCATTTCTTGCAATTTGAAGCTGTTGGTTTGATTCCTACCTTCCAGAACAGGGGAAAACAAGCTTGCTCCTTCTTGCATGTGATAATCGAAGATGGCTATCCTATCTCTTCTCAGTCTCCTCTTCACCAGGCTAAACATACCCAGCTCCCTCAACCATTCCTTATAAGGCTTGGTTTCCAGACTCTTGATCATCTTGGTTACCCTCCTCTGCTCATGTTCCAGTTTATCATTATCCTTCTTAAATAGTGGCACCCAGAACTGGTCACAGTATTCCAGGTTTGCTCTACCTAACAGAATAGAGTGGTACTATTACTTCCTTTGATCTGGACACTATACTTCTGTTGGTGCAGCTTAGAATAGCATTTGACCTCTGGTCAAAGGAGGGAACTGCAGCAACGTAAACCACACCAGGCAAGGCAAAACTTCCTTGCTGCAGCTGGCCAGAGTGGGTCAGGAGATATTGTCTAACAGCTTCTAGTTCAGGGCTAAGAAACTAGATCCATCCAGAAGGCTTATATCCCCCACCCTGCAGGTCAAGTTTTGACAAGTGGGTGTCTCACCACAATCACATCAGGTGACCTGATTGTTGTTGTTTGCATAGCCTGCAGTGGACATGGAAGCCCTGAAGACAAGATGATCATGGAGGCTGGCAACATTTTGTGCACCACATGTCAGCTGACCATCAGGGCTTCTATGTGCAGTGCTAGTTAAGCCCCAACTAGGTCAAACTTGCTCATTAGTTGGAGCAGGTAGAAGACCTACTTTTGCTGCCTACTGGCCAACGCAGTCCTGAGTGACACAGGGCCTGAATCAGATATGGCCCAGTAGTCTCACTGTCCTGGCCTCATGGATCTTTAACTTCTTTTCCTCCATTCCCTCTCCTTTTTCTTTCTGTCTCTGCCATTTGAATTCCTGCAGCCTCCCACCTTTTACAAGTGTGATCTTATTATATTAATAAATCTCCTGGCCCCGAGCATTCAGAATTACACTGCCTTCTCTTGAAAGAAGCTTCTGTTCCTCTCAACCCCTTTGCCTATTGCACAAAAAGACACACAGAGAAAGGCTCTTTGATAAATACAACAGTCAAACAGCTTCACTATCGCTTGCCTCCCTTTCTCTCTCATTCTTTCTGTAAAGGGGCCAGAGTGAGCCTCCAACCTTTTGGGGGAGAAGAGAGAGAGAGAAAGAAATGCCTGACATTTAATGATTTTTGGAGATATGAGACATAGTTTCTTTTCTCTGCCCTTCCCCCTTTCCAAAATATTGTTATCTCTGCAGAAAAGCCTACTTGAAATTTGACATCTTATTGGCATTTTCTTCCTGGTCTCCTCTCTTCCATCAGCCAGGGAAATGGAGGGAAGAGAGGTGGCGGCGAAGCTCTCTTATCTAGAGCAGAATATGCGGCAAAAAAGGATGACACCTGGACCAAAAAGGGAAACTGATGAAGACAGCAGGTGCTGGCAAGGGGCATTTTCTGACCACACTTTCTAATGTTGCTAAAGAGAAGGAGTAGAAAGTGGTTCATTTTGGAGATTCTGAAAGATGAGGAATTTGGGCAATCAGTCACCTAGATCAGAGTGGGTAGGATAGTGCTTCAGGTATAAGTGGAGTTTCTGGCTATCAGCCATTCTGGCATATGCATATCTGAACATGCCACAACTCAATGCCTGACTCGGGGGACCAGGGTTCAAATCCCCACTCGGTCGTGAAGCTCACTGGATAATCTTGGACCAATCAACTGTCTCTCAGCCAAACCAAATGGAGAGATGGAGCTCCTTGGAGGAAAGATGGGATATGATTTTATGCCTATACAGTGGTACCTTGGCTTAAGTACTTAATTCATTCCAGAGGTCTGTTCTTAACCTGAAACTGTTCTTAACCTGAAGCACCACTTTAGCTAATGGGGCTTCCTGCTGCCACCGTGCTGCCGGAGCACGATTTCTGTTCTCATCCTGAAGCAAAGTTCTTAACCCGAGGTAATATTTCTGGGTTAGCGGAGTCTGTAACCTGAAGCCTATGTAACCTGAAGCGTATGTAACCCGAGGTACCACTGTATACATAAAAATGTAAGGCTGTCATCATGCAGTTCCCATTGCAGAATCTGTAGTGCCTCGTCACATTCCTCGATTTGCATGAAGTCAGGAAAGGAGAGGGGAGGAAAATAGAAGACAGATTTTAAAATGATGGCTTTAAAATGCAATAGAGGTTTGAGTAAATCAGGGATGGAGGAACACAGAGAAGTTTTGAGGGTTTTGGCAGGTGTGGGGTGGGGGGTAGGCCAGATTGGTGAACAACGTGACCATGAATGGCAGCCCTTAGTAATCAATCACAGCAGCAATTGTGGAGGATTGCTGGGGATTGTCCTACTGTTCTCAGTCTGCCCTCAGCTAATCCCCATCTCCCTGCCTGCTTACTTGCAGGCACTCCATTGACATGCTTCCTCCTCCTTAGTCTAAGGGTTGCCTTATTCAACTCACCAGGGTGCAGGTTAGGGGCAAAATGAGAATTAGTTGGTTGTGCCTGTTCTTTGGCTCTGGCTCCACCAATCATTGGGCTCCCTGTTTCCACCCCACCAGTCCCAATGGATACAAGCCACCACTGGCAACAAGATTCACTGTCACTCTCAAATCGAAGGTGTTGAAAGCTTAGTTGGGAGATTCCAAAGCATAGAAGTATTTGATCATCAACTGGCATATTTTTTCCAGGCCCAGATCAGAGAGGAAGACTATTATCTAGATGGAAGATGATGCTGTTTCTCACAAGCAAACTATATGGCTTTAAGGCAACACCAAATGTTACTTCCCCTTTTATCAAAAGCACTCATGGTGAGGGGTTGAATTATTTCTCAATAAACCCCAAATTTTGAATTTGCTCATCTTTTTACTCTTCTACAGTCATACCTGAGGTTACGAATGCTGCGGGTTGTGCATTTTTGGGTTGCAGACAGCGCTGAACCTGGAAGTACCGGAACAGGTTACTTCCCGGTTTTGGTGCTCACACATGCGCAGAAGTGCAAATTGACATCACGTGCATGCGCAGAAGGGCTGAATCGCGTCACACACATGCACAGGCATGGCGCTTCAGGCTGTGAACACTGCAGGTTGCGAACATGCCTCCCACAAGGATCATGTTCGCAACCCGAGGTATGATTGTATTTCACATCATTGTCTCCCACCTTTGCTGCTGCATCAGAACTAGTTTCCCCCCCTCCCCTCTGTTTTTCATATTTCCCCCTCTAGTTACTGCTTCTTCTCCCTGAATTAGTCACATGAGAGAACCCAAACAATCAGTGATAAGTGTAATGAATAGAATGACATCACAATGTTACATAGCCAACCACTCATAGTTATGTGTCAGCTTCATGATGGAGGGCAAATATATCCAAGTGAGAGAGACCAATGCTTACAGGGTCATCACCAAGACAAACAAAACTGATTTAGGAAGCACCACCTTCACACTGAATAGGGGACTCCTTTCAACCTTTCACCAGAAAATTTCCAGAAGCAGAACTGCTAAAAATGTCTATGAAATATGCTCCCCTTTTCAGATCAGCTTTTAACTGGCACTGTTATCATCCCAGCACTGACAACCCCAAACCCACCTAGCAGCTGAGAATCCCTCTTTATTCCCCAGCCATGTCCCAAACTATTCCCAATGTCATCTGTTGGAAAAACAAATTTGCAAAGACTTACTGTGCCTGCTTGCTGAAATTAGTAATATTCAACTGCTGAAT